AAACAACTCAGCAGGGTGGGTATGTGCCTAGGAGTGCTCTGTGGGTTTTTCCAAGGACAAGGGTCACGCCCCTTCCTTGGACAGGCTTTGCTCTGAGGTAGAGGCTGGAATCTGTTGCCACCCTTGATAAGGGTGGGCAAGACAGGCTGAAATGGAGTCACATGAGTTTCTCACTGCGACTTAAAGACCCAACCAGAGCAATTGTAGACCAGGAAGAATTTGTTTTGAGGGTGCACAGTTTCAGAGGTCTCAGTTCATAGAAGGCCGGCTGCATTCCTTGGGGCTCCAGGTGAGGCAGAACATCGTGGCAGAAGAGTGTGGCAGAGGGAAGCAGCTCACCTGATGATCAGGAAGCAGAGAGAGAGAGAGAGAGAGAGAGAGAGAGAGACTCCACTTGCCAGATATAAATTATGTCCCAAAGCCATGCCCCCAATTTCCCATCTCCAGCCACACCCCACCATTTCAGGGGATGCTCGAACAAGTTAATCAAATTAACTCAGTCAGTCCCTATCAGAGGATTAACTTCACTGGTTGGGTCAAGACTCCCACAACCCAATCACTTCTCCTGAGCCTCCTTGCATGGTCTCACAGTGAGCTTTTGGGGGACACCTCACATCCAAACCATAACAGTGCCCAAGACTGTGTCCTTTGCAAGACCATGGAGGGCGAGTGGACGTATGGAATCTGTTGCCCCCATTGATAACGGTGGGCAGGACAGGCTGGAATGCCTTCATGTTGATGGAGCCCCCAGCACCCACAGAGCCCGGGCGTCCCGGGAGTCCCGGGCTGAGGGCACGCAGTAGTTCTGGCAATGGCGCAGGAGCGTAAATGAAACCCGAGTCCACGCAGTTATTTACCCAGGAACACCTAACTAAAACACCAACTAGGAAGTCATTCAGCTAAAGGCAGAAGCTTCCCAAGCATCCACCATGTGCTGGGGGCTGAGCCAGGACATGGGAAGGCAGCGGTGAGCCAGAGGTGGGCCAGGCGTCAAAGGTGACACAGTGTGACTGACAGGACTGTTCATACTCTGTGGCAGTGGGTGTTACCCGATGGGGCTCCGCCTTGAAGGAGCTTGCATTGTGTGTCCAGGCAACAGGAAGGGGACTCTCTCACTGTTGACTCATCATAGATCTGAAAGGTCTTTTTGCAGGGCAATTTGGAAGTATCTGTAAAATTTTAAATATGTGTACTCTTCAACCCTTGATTCAATTTTTTTTTTTTTGTATATCTAAGTTAGAGGAATACATGTACAAGTATTTTTTAAACCATGTATTTTCAATGATGCTGATTATGGTATTATTTGTAATAGTACAAAAGGGGGGAATGCTAATCAATAGGTGAATGGCTGGAGAGTCATGTTACACCCATACCATGAACTTGGGAAGTTGCCATTTTAGCTATTTTTTAACCTTGAAATGGATATTTTATATATTGAACAAAGAATGAGAGAGCTCCTTATATCTCCATTGCTTCATCTTTAAAGTGGGGATAATTGCTGGTCACAGCGGCATGTGCCTGTAATCCCAGTGACTCAGGAGGCTGAGGCAGGAGGATCACAAGTTTGAGACCAGTCTCAGTAACTTAGTGAGGCCCTGAGCAACTTAGCAAGACCCTATCTGAAAATAAAAAATAAAAGGGCTGGGGATGTAATTCAGTAGTTAAGCACCCCTGGGTTCATTTGTGGAGGAGGTGTATGTGTGTGTGTGTGTGTGTGTGTGTGTGTGTGTGTAGGCGTGTTGATGCCCAGGGAAAGGCTGGAAGCCTTCCTTCCCAACTGTCCCTCCTGTTCATGATGGTTAGTCCTGGAGAAGGGGTGGGATGGGCCGGTCATTGAAGGTTCTCAGTCAGTTCAGCCACTGGGACAGCCAACACAGCCAGGTGCCTTCAGGGGCTGGTCACAGGAACTGCCTGATCAACTCTGGGGTGGTCAGGGGGTCTCCATAGGGCTTCATCCTGCACCTGAGGCTGGAGCCGGGCATTCACAGGGCAGCCAGGAGGGGCAAGGGACACAAAATGAGGAAAGTTACAGGTGGGAGCCCCATGAGAGGGCTGGATCTTGAATTGGTTCTTATTGCATCTGGCATTGTCAAGGATCTGGAGCTGATGGAGATCTGGCATCGGTGGGGATCTCATGTTGACGGGGATCTGGTATTGATGGGGATCTGGCGTTGACGGGGATCTGGAGTTGATGGAGATCTGGCATCGGTGGCGATCTCGTGTTGATGGGGATCTGGCATTGACCGGGATCTGGCGTTGACCGGGATCTGATGTCGAGGCGTTGATGGGGATCTGGTGTTGATGAGGATCTGGTGTTGATGGGGATCTCATGTTGACGGGGATCTGGTTTTGACCGGGATCTGGTGTTGAGGCGTTGATGGGGATCTGGCGTCCACGGGGATCTGCCCGTGTCGACGGGATGGGCATCTTGCCCAAGCGCTGGCGAGGGGGTCAGAGAAGCTGGTGACGAACCAGGGGAAGGAGGAGCGGTGCAGAGCAGATCAGAGCGGCACGTGCCTACAGAGCAGAGCCGCGCCCTTCCCCCTGCCACCTGAACTTCCCGGGCAGCCCTGTGGCGCTCCCAACCCAGAAACAGACAAGAAAGGGAACGGGGAGCTGCGGATTATATTTCTTGTGAAGAGAAAAAACAATGGAAACCTCTTGGTAAAAGAAGGAGGGAAATGAAACTCTCCCAGCAGCGAGACCTGGGGTCCTGTTGCAGAGTCGGTGGCCTGTGCAGGTGAGTGAGGAACTGGGTCTTTCACTGGAGCCCCCCGGCCACTGGCCCCTCGCTGGGTCACTGTGATCTCCTCCTCACTGGCTTGCCTGCTTCTGCCTTCCCAATTCCAGTCTGTCCCCTGTTCCGTCAGATTGATGCTTCAAAATAGAAATTGGGTATGTGTCTGTTTCAGAATATTCCGGGGGCTTCTTGTTGTCTTTACAGCAGGGCATCTGGTCCGACAGCCTCTGCAGTACTCTCTCTGGGTCTCGTCTGTCTCCATCCCACCCCCGCCCTTCAGTGGTCCCACAACCTGTGGATGATAAAATGACCATGCACGGGACGGCTTGAAACAAAGTTGGCTGTTTATTGATCACCTACTATGCTCTGGGTACCCTGCACACAGGGTCACGTTTCATACCCAGAGTCTCTAAAAGCATTTGCCACCCCTGTTTTACAGACCGGGGGGATACTGAGACACAAGCCAAAGCCTCATGCCTGGTGAGTGGCACTGCAGGTTTGCAGCCAACTCCCTGAACCGACAGCCTGCAGCCATCCCTGACAGGCGCGTCTCTGTCCCCTTGCCACGCTGCTTTGTGGTTCCTGAGCTGTCGTCCCTAGGCAGGGATCCCCAGGACAGCAGAGTCTGATCTGGGGAACCTGGGTCCTCCAGCCCTCTCATGGTGCTCGCACATGCTAGGCAACCACATGGTGCTGGTAGAAAATACCAACGTGCCAGGTGCTCGGTGGGCACTAGGGTTCCACTCGGGTCAGGAAGAACCCAACAATAAAGCTCTTGCCTTGTGGAGCCTGTGGTCGTAATGGGGGAGATGATCTCGTGCTGTAATCATAAGTGCTGGGCTGGGAGGGTCCTGGGGAACATGCAGTTGGTGGGCATGCATGTTGGCTTAGGCAGGAGGAATGTCCTGTGAGCCCCATGGCACTCATAAGGTGTGAGTGGCACCAGCGTCTCTGCTCTGTCCACTGACTCCCATGTGCTGGTCAGGGAGCGGATGGGTCCTGCCCCTCCTGTTTCTCAGAAATCCCTGCAGCACCAGAGCCTCTCTCCCCCCCCCCCCCCCCCCCCCCGTGGGGACAGTGGGATCCTTGCTGGGCGGCCCTGCCCATCTATACGTGACTATTCCCTGGCTTGCCCCGTGGGGATCCACTGAGGCCGCTGCCCGGTGGGACAGCTGGACAGAGCAGGGCATGCTCTCTACTCCTGGAAAGAGGCAGCCGCCTACCATCCGCTTCTACAAAAGGAAGTGAGCATTCTCTCTTGTTTTTAAGGGTACAGATCATGGTGGCTTGTGGGAGCTTCCTGTCTGTAGTGCTCTGTGTGCCCGCCATGTGACTGCCACTCCTGGGACTAGGACACTGTGGCACTGTGAAGTTAGCTTGACCACAGTCCCACCGTGCCCCTCCTTGGCCTCTAGACTGTGAGACCTTGGAGAGGCCAGCCTCCAGGAGAAAGGGCGGCCCAGGTCCCACCACTTGCCTTTGTGTGCATGGGGGGTGGGGTGGTGAGGGAGCCCTCTGCGAAATGGGTGATAAAAAAAAAAAACAATTGGGGGGACTGTGTGACCATGCACATTGAAGTGTTTCTGGACAGCATGCACCCCAGGGGCTTTCCATAAGCTACCAGGTTGGAAACTCGTCACTTAGAGGCATGTTAAAGAGTATGCTCAAACTGGTCATTTTCACCTGAAAGAGGAAGTCTTACATTTTCACAGTCTCCTTTAAAGGCACATTATCAGCTTTATCAAAGCCTCGAGGATGACAACTGGGATCCACCCCTGCCTTCTGGGGCTGGAGCTGCTTCTGTGCCCCACAGCCCCCTCTTATCCAGGGTGCCCACAGATATCGCCCATAGCAGAGGAAACATGGTCACTTGTTGTCCTTTGGTGGAGTCTGTGACTGTGCCCCTTGGTCATTTTCCAGGAGGTTTAGAATTCCTGCATCAGCTCATGCTGCCTCTGCTGTTGACGCAAGGACTTGGATGCGGGGTGGCTTCAGTCTGTGTCATTTATTTTATTTTCTCCCAAGGCGCGTAAGGGCGGACGTCGCTGGCTGTCCCAGAGCTTCCCCTGTTCCCTGGAGCTGGAGGTCCCTCATGCTTCCTTCTAAACCCTCCTACGGACTGGGTCTAGGCTGAGAGGATCCCGGACTTGACGCCTAAAAGTTCTTCCTTTCCCAGTGGGGAGGGCAGAGCCTGGCCAGAGGGACCCACCAGAGATCACAGGATGGCAAATAAGTGTCCTGTCACTGTGGTTTGTTCCAGAGCTGGTGATGTTGCTGGAGTGGTGGTCGGGCACAGAGTGCACCATCTACACGGACCCGAGGGCCTTCTCCAAGTATGGCACGGAGAACGCCATCGTCGTCCTCAACCACAAATTTGAAATCGACTTCCTCTGCGGCTGGAGCCTGGCGGAGCGCTTCGGGATCTTAGGGGTAAGCGGGGTGCGGCTGCCTGCTCATGCGTTTCTCAAACGACACTAGCATAACCTGCCTCTTTGCTCTCCTCCAGAGTTTGCCGAAGAATCCATAGAGTTTTTGCCGGATGAAATGTTCTTTAAAAGCTGCTTTTCATTCTTGCTGGGATCAGGATTAACATCTTATGAGCAATAAGGGGGGATCCTCATCATTGCTGTAGGCCAGGCATTTTAATAGTTCATTCCATCTTTATAGAAGCAGAGTGGGTGATATGCCAGTGGGTGACATATGCCACCTCCCTTTTTAAGTGAGAGAGAGCTTAAATATTCTGCTCAGGGTCACACAGCTGTAATTGGATTTGGATTTGAACTTGTCCAGTTTGACTCCCATCCACATTCTTAATTACCCTGCCCGCCTGCCTGTGTGGCTCACGGAATTCATCTCTGAATTTCCATCATCGCAGGCTTAAGAACATTGAGCTCCCACGTGAGCAAGTTTGAATGGCACAATTCGAAAATATTATTAAATTCTGTTTTTCTCGATTTGGTTTGATTTCTTCTTGCATGCAGCTCACATACCTTTGGAACTGGGTCTCCCCCATTGACCTTTGTCATCTTTAATGCACGAAGGTGTGTCATGGTTAAGCCGGTCATGTCACATCCCTGAATCTCCAGCGGCACTGGAGAGTCGCAGTGGGAAGCGCAGCGTCCGCCCGTGGGCCTGGGCGGGAAGGGCTCTGCCAGGGCTTTGCACCTGGGAACCATGCCTTGCAGACAGCAGGGACTGTGCATGTCACCCTTGTCCTTGGCAGCCCATGGAGACCACGGAGGACAGGGGACTGGAGGAGTTTGTGGGGCTGGGTTATCTGGGAAGGTGAGGGAGCCTCCTGCTGATAGCTTCTCTTTCATTTTCCTATTTACTCTCCAGTGCTTCTTTGGTGTGTGTGTGAGAGAGAGTGTGTGTGTGTTTTCAAAACAAAAGCAACAATTTTAGCACAGTTTCCCCCTTTATCTTTGGGGGATAAGTTCCAAGCCATTTTGAGGTTGCCCTACGTTGTTCAGATTCTTCTGAACACCAGTGTGTACTGTTTTTCTTATAAATACAAACCTAGGATAGATTTTAATTTATAAATTATTCACAGTAAGAAATTAACAACTGCTACTAATGAAACTGAATAATTATAGTAATATACTATAACAAAAGTTATTTGAAATTGCTGACTTGTTTATTTCTGGAATTTTCCACCGTTGACTCTGGGTAACTGAGACTGTAGAAAGCGGATCATGGCTAAGGGGAGCCACTGCCCCACCCTCTTCTGCCTCAGAGCTCCTGGCCTGGGGTCTTGGTTACCTTTCTGTGATTTGCATTCTCTCTGAGGCAAGAGCACCCTGAACATGTCATAGTCCCTGACCTGGTTTGTCGTGGAGACCTCTGGTTGGAGATGGGACCCTTCCTGTGTTTGGGAGGGGGCACATGGGGATGGCCGTCAGAACCTGCTTCCTGATGTGCCAACACCCCCTGGGACCAGTGCTCACAGGTCGTCTAGGCAGTGGTACCCCAGGTTTTCCAGTGGCTTTGGTGGCATTCCTGTTCAGAACCGTAAAGACGCCTGCAGTCTATGGCAGGAGTGCCTGGGCCAGTGTAGAAGGCCTCCTGGGCTCCTTCTGTGCTCCATGCCCTTCATCTGTGCCATGGCCAACCTTGTACATCATCAGTCCCACTCCATAAATGAACTCCCAGAGCCCCGACCTTGCCCAAGGGCAGCAGCTAGTGAGCCACGTCCAGAGTCCTGCTCCTCCCCGGGAGGTGTGGAGGGAAAGCCGGGCTCCAGGGCCTGAGACCTGCTTCAGAGATGTTAAACAACAGGCCAGCAGCCGGGGACCAGGCTCCTAGCACCACCCTAGCTTGGGGTGCACCAGGGCTCAGTCCGAGGGCTGGGAGTCATCAAGCCCTCACCAGGTGGGACATGGAGCCATGGGAGCTAAGAGCTCAGGAAACAGATGGCTTAGGGACCCCGGCCAGCACAGTGAGTACAAGCTGAACCCCACGGTGCACGTGGGGAGATGGCCCATGGAGAGGGACCCAGGCCAGGGAGGGATCCAGGGGAGGGGAGAGGACCCAGAGGTAGAGAGGGGCCCAGGAGAGGGGAAGGAGACCCGGGGCAGAGGAAGCCTGGGCTGGGAAGGGACGCTGGCCCAGAGAGGAAGGCAGACTCCCAGAGCAGACTCCCTCTCAACCCTTGTTAGTACTTTTCTAAGATCTGGAGGCTCTCCCTCCTCCGTGCAGGACCCGCCCACCCGCCTGTGCCCAGGGCGCTCCTCATCTTCACTCTCCATTCCTTAATCGAATACCAGATCTAGAGGATTTCCTCGAACACTATTAAACCACACAGCTAATGTGGGTAAAAGGGGTGGAGGGTCGCCAGATGTAGGTGACTGGTTTTAGGAGGTAGAGGGTTTTGGGAGACACACCTGGAGGTGACGGGGCGGGTCTCAAAGCCTGGCCCAGGCACCCTCTGACCTCACTGGATGCTCAATGGGGCCTCAGGTTTCATGGATTCTCACTAAAGAGCCCCTGAGTTTCTTTAGAATCGGGAGGAGAGCGAGAGGAAGTGAATCCCATTTTCTCTAAACACCAGAGAAACAGCATGTGCTGTAGCCCCAGTGGGGCCAAGTGTTGGTGGATTGTAGGCCCTGGGGAGGGAGGAGGCAGAGAGGATGCGGAGGCCGAGAGGATGGGGACCAGGGACCTTATGGGGAGCTGGTGGAAGGTGCCAGGAGCCCCCCTCCAAATGTAGTAAAAAGCAGCTTTGCCGCCTGGCAGAGGAGCTGTGGCCCAGTACAACCCACAGTGCTGGAGGAGAGGCCTGGCCTCTTCCCAGAATCCTACTACCTTGGACAGGACAGCACCTTGTATTGGTCTGCAGAATCTTTTGTCTTCAATGACCTTTAAGACGAACCCTGCATTCATCACTCTCTTGTTGATAACTTGAGCTGAGGAGACCCCTCTGGAGCTGAGCTGTGAAGATCGTTCTGGAGATGCCTCTGGAGTCTGAGCTGAGAGACCCCTCTGGACTCTGAGCTGAGGAGACCCCTCTGGACTCTGAGCTGAGGAGACCCCTCTGGAGCCTGAGCTGAGGAGACCCCTCTGGAGCCGAGCTATGGAGATCGTTCTGGAGATGCCTCTGGAATCTGAGCTGAGAAGAATTCTCCTGAGTAATGGAATTCTCTCTGGAGCCAAGCTGTAGAGATCATTCTGGAGATGGCTCTGGAGTCTGAGCTGAGAGACGCCTCTGGAGCGTGAGCTGTGGAGACCCCTCTGGACTCTGAGCTGAGGAGACCCCTCTGGAGTCTGAGCTGTGGAGATCCTTCTGGAGTCTGAGCTGAGGAGATCCTTCTGGACTCTGAGCTGAGGAGACCCCTCTGGAGTCTGAGCTGTGGAGATCCTTCTGGAGTCTGAGCTGAGGAGATCCTTCTGGACTCTGAGCTGAGGAGACCCCTCTGGAGTCTGAGCTGAGGAGAGCCCTCTGGAGTCTGAACTCTGGAGATCTCTCTGGAGCCTGAGCTATAGAGACCCCTCTGGAGCCGAGCTGTGGAGATTGTTCTGGAGATGCCTCTGGAGTCTGAGCTGAGGAGAGTCCTCTGGAGTCTGAGCTGTGGTGACCCCTCTGGAGTCTGAGCTGAGGAGACCCCTCTGGAGTCTGAGCTGTGGAGACCCCTCTGGAGTCTGAGCTGAGGAGACCCCTCTGGAGCGTGAGCTGAGGAGATCCCTCTGGAGTCTGAGCTGAGGAGACCCCTCTGGAGCGTGAGCAGGTTGCTTTTTAAGAAAGGAAGGAAGCATTTTCCTGAGCAGGCATTTTTCCTCCTCACCTGTGGAACGGTCCATGAGGAAACGAGTTTGAATCCAACTAAAATGAAATCTGCAGAACTCTTGAACAAGGGGTTATTAGGTCTGTTTTGAGGGGAGAGTCATGGAATTCTCCTGAACAGAAGCCTCCAACCTTTGAAAACATCCTAAGGCCCCACTGGTATGGCCAGGGGTGAGTCCACCAGCCTGACCCAGAGACTCGGCTCCTGTTCTGGCCAGGTCCCCAAAGCCTTGTCATGGGATCTCAGATGCCCACTGGCTCTCTCTTCCCTGGGAAGAGAATGACCTGGGGACAGCTGACGGTGCTTGCCACCACAGGCCGGAAAAACTGGCGTGTCAGGCACAGGCTTGAGGCTTCAGCCCCGTTAGCTTGTCTTTCCCTTTGGTAAAACATGCACACGTCATGGTCCAGACTGTCCGCCTCTGGGCAGTGCCAGCCCTGCACTCCACACATGTAGCTGTGCTGTCTTCAGTATTCACCTGCTGGGGACGTGTGGCTTGGAGGTTCACTCCAGGCCACCTGGGACATCTTTAAGGATAAAGAAGCCATATCCCTGAGTTATCCACGGCAGCAGGAGGAGCCTCAAACTGAGCAGCTTACGTCCCCAGGCACCGGGACAATGACCTTTGCTCATGTGATCAGGAGTCCAGGCACAGCTCAGCAAGGTCACTCAGAAGGCCACAGTCAAGCTGTGGCGGGGAGGTGGTCTCACCCAGGGCCTCCAGTGTCTGTGGCCCACCTCCAATCTCATTGCAGGTCACGCTGACCCTGCCACGTGGGCCTTGGCATGGACATGGCCACCAGTCCCCCCAGAGCGAGCACTCAGGACAGAAGCCAGGGCACTTTTGTAGCTGGAACTTAGAAGGGACACCCATCACTTCTATGTCTGCCGTTTGTTAGAAGAGGACGAGTGTACCCAGCCAGCACTCAGGGGCGTGAGGCCGGGAAGTCACCGGGGCCAGCCCAACATCTCAGACCTCCATTTTCTGCCTAGTAACTACGACCCAGGGTGAACGAGGCAGTTCAGTCCAAAAACAGATTGAAACTTTGTTGTATTTCTTTGTGTAAAAAAGATAGAGGAGTGCAGAATTACTATTCCTGAGTAGAAGGAACATCCAAGTCCCTCACAAAGCTGGGTCCTGCCTTTCAA